TGGTGCCAGGAGAAAGATCTACGGAGGAGCTAAAGAGGCATCAACAATCACTTAAGAGAGCAAGTGCCAAAGAGAAAATGGATAGCATTGATTCAAGCCTCTCCCCAGGCCTGCTGCGTCTGGTTAATCAATCGAGGGACAAGGGCGCAAGTTCTTGGCTGAATGCGATGCCTCTCGGAGACAAAGGTTTAGCCCTCAACAAGCAAGAGTTCAGAGACTCGCTATGCTTGCGTTATGACTTACCCTTAGTCAATTTACCAAGTCATTGCATATGTGGGGATAAATTCACCGTTAGTCACGCCCTCTCTTGTAAAAAGGTGGGTTTGTAGCGCAGAGACATGACGGTGTACGGAACTTGTTAACGACATTCATCGACAAGATCTGCAATAATGTCGAGATCGAACCACGCCTTCAACCCCTGGACAACGAGCGATTTCATTTGAGGAGCGCTGTTACAAGTTCTGAGGCAAGGTTGGACATCAAAGCGGGAGGTTTCTGGGCAAGAGGAGTTACGGCATTTTTTGATGTTAGAGTTACGCACGTCAACTCCAAGTGTTACCAGAGCAAGCCAACATCGGAAGTGTTCAAAGAGCAAGAAGAAGAGAAGAAGCGCAAGTACCAGCAGCGGGTGTTAGATGTAGAAATGAGTTCGTTTACGCCTTTAGTGCTTGGAACCAATGGCGGAATGGGAAACGAGTGTCAGCGGTTCTTAAAGCATCTCGCAGACAAGATAGCTCAAAAAGACACCGAGCCTTATCATGTTGTAATCACTTGGCTCAGGACACAGATCTCGTTTGAACTCTTAAGATCGGTACATGCATGCGTCAGAGGTTCGCGAACGCCGTTTCGTAGCAAGATAGAGCAATCATTAGACTGTAAAATAAATGTCGCTAGTGCGGATATCTGAAATACGTGTCTATATGCTTTTATACTTAGGGCTTTTTATGGACACTGGTTTAGCCGTCATTCGTATAATTCGATTGCAGGATCTTAATATCTCTGCATAATGGCATTCTTAATTTTATAGAATTTTGAATTTTTATTATTAATTATATCTATTTCCTCTTCTTTTATGTAAGGTTAAGTTACTTCTATTTTTTAGAATTTGTAAATGAATAGTTTTTTCTTTCTTCACTTATTATATATAGGATTGTATTTGTTCTCTAATGAAGGCCGAGGGGTTTCTTTTGTAACGGATGGAATTGTAGATAGTGTTTTGATGAATTAATTAGATTTTTTGTAACAGCAGGTTGATTGTAAATAGGATTTTAATTGAGGTTTTGTAATAAAGATTCTTTTCTTCTTCTTCTTCTTCTTCTTCTTCCTCCTCTTATTATTATTATTATTATTATTATTATTATAGGACGCCAAGTGTTATTTCTGTTGAATAATAACAGACTAATAAAAGAATAAATATCAAACCAGAAATTGCTCTCTTCAAACTGTAAATTATAAATGATCCTGAGAGAATATTCACTGTGTTAAGGATTTCCCTGCTGTACTGTTAGCTCTATACAAGAGAGGAGGGGCGATTCTTTTTTAATTTCCGTTTCGCTGACACAGCTTTAGCAGAAATCTCTCTTTAGTCGTTTTCGTCGACAAAACGAATAGCAATATTGCTCTCCGCGTCTTCCGCCATTTTTTTTCTGCCTCAAGCCGTGAAGGACTCGTGGCTCTGAGCGTGGGTCATCCACGCGGAACACATTCGCGCTATATGATTGGCTGTTGTCTAATCCCCCTTGGGATCTGTGGTCTTAAAAATAACTCGAGACGAATTACCTATGGAATAGGGTGTGTATGGAGGATGCCTTCTCTGTGACCTTTATCCTCTCTTGGTGCCGACTTATTCCTTGCTCACAAATGTCGTTCCTCTATAAAGTTTAAAATAAGACTAGAATGCGCGAGTGTGAATTGATTAAACGTCCTTTTAATTTCTAAGGCTTCCTAATGAACTGAATGTAAAAAGTGAACGGGAAATAGCGAAAAATTCGACTTCTTATTAAATCTTTTCTTATGGTTTAGAACAAACTATTCTCGAAACTGAGAACGTTTTGATCAAAGCTGTGTAAATCTACCCGAAACTGTGCATGGAACTCTGCGTTTGCTGTATCTATCTCACCTATTGTATGGAATATGTGTGAAAATCTTCCTTATGAATCGGTATATTTCAAAGAGCGACACAACGAGCAAGAATGCTATTGACCGACAATATACAGAGCAGGGGCAGCCGCTATTACTAGTTATTATTATTATTATTATTATTATTATTATTATTATTATTATTATTATTATTATTATTATTATTATTACAAAAATAACAACAATAAATAGAATTCTTTATTAAAATCTTATAAAAATCTTATAGAAACTACACACAAAACTTCTGTAAAATATTCATAAAAATAAAACGTCCACATCAATATCATATGAATACAAATTTCCGGCAAAACCCCTTCACAATTCAGAATTCTAAGATACTAATTAAAAACGAAATATATGTCCACGATAGAAACTACTTACAATTGTGAATACTTTAAGAGTAGGAAAAGGAAAATCAAGCATCACTAAGAAAAAAACTATCAAAAATCTAGGCCCAAAATTATGAATACAGATGTAGACCAGCTACAGCGAAAGTGAAGTCTTCTGAGACCTCACGTGATTTGAATGGATATCTAGAACCTCTGAGGCATCTGTGTACAGTTCTTAATATAGCAAATGAGAGCTGTATTCGAAGCCAGGAAATAACGCTGGCGTAGGGTTCATCGTTCTTAGTCGAAAGCTTATTTGCGAGAGTTCTTAAAAAGTTCTGACAGTCGAGTCCCATGCCCCCGTTTGTACCAAACACCAGTGGTGTAAAGGTTCCCATCACTGCATCCATCACTCTCTGGTTTTATTTCCTCTTCTTCTCGTTTTCTTGCTCTTTGAAGATCGAGGCTGTGTACTTGCCCTGGTTGGACCGGGAGTTAACATGCGGTACACGTACGTCAAAGAATGCCGTTACTCCTGGTGTCCAAAAACCTCCTGCCTTCATATCCAGCCTCGCTTCTCGACTTGTAACAGTAGACTGAAGGTTGAATACTTCATTGTCGAGTGGCTGCAGGAGCTGGCTCTGTCTCCACATTTCTGCACACTTTACTGATGTGTGATGTCAGAAGATCTCGGATTGTATCATGTCTCTGAGCTACAAAACCTCCCTTATTATTATTATTATTATTATTATGTCGCAGTATGAAACTTTGGAATGCTGTCCACATTATGAGTAGTGTAGGGCGCATAGCGTAGCCTACACCACTTGAGAAGCTATACTTAGAAGTAAAAAAAGGTCGATACGAAACCTAATACAATCCTAAAATACATAGTGATAGAATCTCTCTACTTAAAAAGCCAATTTAGAATATTATTAAATTCTGATACTCTGTAAAACCTTCGCTATCTGTACTAAAAGCTTATACATAGTGATATAAATCTCTCTACTTAAAAAGCCAATTTAGATTATTATGAAATTCTGATACTCTGTAAAACCTTCGCTATCTCTACTAAAAACATATTTATAATAATATCACACTCTAATGTTCTAAAAAATCTAAATAAAAACGTCAGCAAGCTTGTGTTTCTAGATTTCTAGAGAAAAAACAAAAACCTAAAAACTGAAGTCCATAGCGCCCTAACTAAGTATTTATCTTAAATGTTCTGGCAATGTTTAAAGTGTTTGAGATGACCGACTTCTGCATTCGCTCAAGTACGCTCCGTGCTCTCGCTCCAAGTAGCTTCCTCACCGACTTCTCTAGGTGTTTAGAGTAACCCCCCAGTACGTCAATTATTACGTTGAACTGTTCAACCCTGTAACCATTGTATCTCTGCTTCAGCTCCCACATCATGGGCCCATACTTGAGTGTCTTTTCCTCATCTTTCTTAGCTCTACTCTCAATCCATGGGCAGCTCATTTCAATTGTGCAGACTTCTTTCCTCTCGTGGTTGACAAGTCGCGCGTCGATCCGATTTGCCCTAACTTCGTTGTGCTCTGCATAGATGGGAATATCCCAAAACGCCTCACTCGTGGTGTTCTGGTAGGCTGGTTTTGGCATCACCGGTGAGTACCATGGTGGAACCTCTTCCATTAACCCATGCTCTCGCAGGAGCTCAAAAAACAGAATCTTCAAAGCTGCATTATGCCTGTATAGGTACTTGGTTTGTGCCAGGGAGGAACATCCAGCCAGTACATGTGCAACGCTCTCAGCTACCTTCCCACATAACCTGCATAGAACTTCGCCGTCGGTGGAGGTTTGCGTCTTCTCCTTTGTGTAGAGCTTCGTAGGTAACAACTGCTCATACAGTTCATACATGCCCGCGATGGTATGTGTAGGGCATGTAGCCCAACCTTTTAACCATGCAAAGCAGCTGGCTGTGCTTAGGCTCTCATCTTCCCATCTGATACGGAATAACTTTCCTTGCCACTTTTTGTCTTTAGCGCTCTCCAAGAACTGCTTCTCTTGAGATTGCTTCAACAGATTCCCAGCTCTTGCTGCAGTTACCACCTTTCCATCTGTTGTAACACACACGGGATTTAGGGTATCAAGCTGAAGGGTGATGTTGAGTTCTTCAGCGTACTTAGCTGCTTCCTTTACGAGCGACTGGTGGCGTGATACCATGGCGTGTTCTTCAAATTCTCTAACTGCTTCCACAGTCGGGTCCGGGTTCTGATACAGTTTCAGTAGCGATTTGATTTTAGTGATCTTGTACTCGTGTTCGACTGATCGCAGGCCTCTATTATTATTATTATTATTATTATTATTATTATTATTATTATTATTATTATTATTATTATTATTATTATTATCATCATGATTGAATATTACATATCAGCAATATTATACAGGGTTCGTACAGGTCATTGAAAACCTGAAAAGTCATGGAATTTGATTGTAGTTCATAAAAAGTCACGGAAAATTAAATTATTGTGGGGGTAGATAAGGTACTGCAGATGACAAACCAAGGACAATGTAAGATAAAGAGGAGTAAGTAAGAGTGGCTTTCCGTAAATATCGACCCACGGTCGGCACAAGTTCAAAATTTGATTTCGCTCATATTTGGCTCTTCGATAACCCTTACTAAGTGATGAAACATGCTGTAGTTAGTTTTCCCAAATAAAGTGTTCTTTTGTTAAAATTCGAGAAAACGCATTTTGCCCGTTCAGAGCTCAAAATCCACTTCCGGTAAAGCGAAATTTTACACAAATTCCATTGACTCGTACGTCAAACCACAACGATTTGTCAGCCTTTGAAAAACAAGAATAGTTTTTGTGACCCTTTCTTTCTTATAAGTCGATAAATTTGTGACCAAAAAGGTATTGTTAAAAAATAGGCCTTATTGACAATTTCTACCGTTCAAAATTATAGGGATAAAATAATGCAAATTTTTACAATGCGCTGTAACTTAAAATTCCGCAAATTGACTTTGTACTGCTTAACTGGGCCCCAATCTATCAGAAAATCAAAACAAATCTCTGGGCAAACGATTTTAAGTAGCCCGCAAGACGTTGAGTTCAACCCTAATTTTGCAAAAAAAAACGCGACAAATCACGCCAGTGTTACCGATAAATTTACTTAAATTAAAGGTAGATTAAAAGCCAATTCGTAATTAAATATTTCAGTAAACCTATTGTTCTCATTGATTGCAGCATTTTCTTCAGATACAACATATAGGGTCCCTGGGATAGCGTCACACACTTTCATGTTCAGTTTCAGACTGGCGATTTCCCTCAAAAAATGGTATAAAAACAGAACAAAATCTAAAAACTAAAACTGATTACTGAATGAATTTTTGCATTGAGAGATATCTACGAATTAAATTATCGCCAATCAATGCGATTTGGTTTCTAAAAACTAAAATCCTTGAAGCAATTTTAAAGAATAAAAATATTTTAGACTAAGTATTGGTGCAATAGTTCTTTTCGAAGTTTTTGCCCTTGCGGGCTCTCAAAACTAAAAAAAAAAAAAAGGAGCTACGTGGATGCAAAAGAGGATCATATACTTGTATGAAAACGTGTGTGAATCATGAAGCTACGGCGTGACTATATACATGACCCATTAAAACAAACACTTTGGTACTTTATCAGAATAACCATTAACTCAATTTCGGGTTGCTTTCGACGTTTCAGTGGAAAATTCCTGAAACAAACGGAACGTCTGAGAAGGCATTCGCCTATTTTCCTGGTTGGAAACTTCCAGGCGGAAGTTCGGATTTCATGTCTTCAAACCTTTTTTGAATATTGGTTTCAGGCTTTCGCGGCCGTTTTTCATTAAACGAAACTGACTTAGGAAAATAGTAAACGCGATTACCGAACGGAATCAAAATTAATCAGTCCTGAATTCTCCTCACCATTTGCCCAAACCGTGAAGCGACCGGTTTACCCATGGTAATAGTAGGAAAAGCCTTGTGTCCAAAAGCCTGCTATACAGCTTCCTCTCATCGCTATCTTCCCCTTGGGACATTTCGTCAAAGAGCGATGAGAGGCGGTTGTATCGCAGACTATGCGTCATATATCTTAAGTACCTGGAGGGGCCTTGTTAAGTGCATAGTAGATCGTAGCAAGGGCAGATCGTTGCAATATCTCTAATTACTTATTAAGAGACAGTTCTTTGGAATAGCCTTGCTAAATATTGACCAGTAGCAAGCGAAGTCTCTTCGAGTTTTGAGGGCCGGCTGCAAACAATTCTTCTGGAGATCTACACGGTACTTATGTAAAGCAAACTAAGGCTTTCAGTCTTATTCGGTTTGTGACAAAGACAAAGGTAAGGTTTTGGAGGCCTGCTTGGGCGTCTAAGTTTCATGGACTAAGGTTACGGAGGATGAGGTAAGTCCTCAAGTCTGTCTTTCCTTTTTAGGTGTTCCCATTCGTTCGTTACAAGGTTCTTCTTAGGTTTAGTATTATACTCTATTTTGTTTCCCTATTTTTGTTGTTATTTATGTTTTGTTTTTTTTTTTGCGGAAAAAACGATGGACGATGTTCTCTTTCCAAACGCTGTTGAAAGGAACTTTCTGTCTTTTAATCCGTCATCTGTAGTTCAGTATTACAGCTAGAGTTTCCATGACACTAAAACGTCAATCAGTGCAAAGTCTTTCAGACCACAAAGTAGCCCGTACTTTTTGCGTAAGCCAAGAACGCGGAATAGTCGAAAGAATGGTCTGGAGCAAAACAAAATGGTCGTTCGCTCTTGTCTGGAGCAGAGGGGGCGCGGCGAGGGAGGGGGGAGGTGAGTGAGACTGGGAGAGAATCGAAAAATAAGTCTAAAAAATACGATAGAAAATGACAAAGAAAAAATGAAAGAAAGGAAACAAGAAAGAAAAAAAATCGCAGTCTAAAAGCAGTTGAAAAGTTAGTACTACCAAATCTGTTCCTGCTGATCAATAACAAAGCGCCAACAGTGCTCGACGCTCAAGTTGAATACCGTATTTATTCGAATAAGCGCCCAACTTCGAATTAGCGCCCGCCTCGAATAAGCGCCCATCCTAAAGGCAGAAAATTTATTAAGTGCCCACCCCCACCACATTTCCCCCCACTCAAATAAGAGATAATAAGAGACCCTCCCAAAGACGGAGTTTTCTTCAGAGCATTTTACAGAAACCTTGCTTTGTTACATCTCCGCTTTTTGTTATTACCATTTATTTTTTTGTTGCAAAATAAACATACTAGACTTGCTGAGAAGGGCGAAAATTTAATAAGCGCCCAGCCTCGAATAAGCGCCCACTCTCAAGGTTCAAAAATTTAATGAGCGCCCAGGGCGGTTTAATAATCGAATAAATACGGTATATGACATAAAAATTTGTAAATGAAGGACGTAGTTAACCTGTAACAGGCCTTCAGGTAGTTAGGAAAACGCAAAGAAAAGTGGGCTAGAAAAAATGGCGAAGGGGCGGGGTTAGGGAGAGAGGGCGAAAGGTCCTCCTACTCTCTCCCTCTTACTTTCTTCCACGTTTGTTTTCCTCCGTTCCCCATTTCGCGCCACTGTTTACTATCCACTATCCACTATTCACTGTCCACTACGCCTGGAATAGGCTAGTTCATAGTGGGCCAGAGAATTTTTTTCCAATGGCGATGCAAGGGATCTATAGATGTCCATTTAGGAGCATCTGACATCTTTAAAAGCTCATACTCACGCTGCAACTATTCCCGCTTTAGCATTAGTAAAACGCCACTTTTTTTTCTATTTTCCGTTTTGCTGTAGAGGAAAGTTTTTGGTGATTTGTTTTTGATGATGGCGTTTCATCGTCGATCGAAACGAGTTAAAATGTTTTCTGAAACGTTCGTTACAATGTACCTTTATAAGCGTGATAGTAATACATCGAAACGTACATTTATACTTACACATAATTACTTGAAAGAGAAAACTCGCAAGAAAAAAAAAGTGTTCTAATTAGTTAATATTGGTTATCCCCGTCTTAAATTTAACGTATTTATGCCTTTTGACGGATGCTTAAATTAATAAAACACACCACTGTACTTGTTGCCCCCGCAGGGCCGGAACCCGAGGAGGCACCCTAATGTCCCCCGTGTAAAGAAGAAGTATCGTATCGTCTTACTGTTAGTATGCGAACCTTTCCCGATTTGATGAAACTAGGCGCGCACGGTGGTCCCGGTTAATTTTCAGCATGTGCGCCTGGTTCAGCAACCGCGCAAACTGGGTTTGTCGACGAGTCGCATTCGCCGAATTGTGTCGCACACAAGCGCAACAAGTGGCTCCAAATCCCCGCCCAGGAAGATTTTCCACCGAAACTCCTCTAGAGCGAGAACGCCGACTTCAAATTCAGCGAGAACAACGAAGGAGAAGACGTCAACAAGAAACCGCGGAGTAGAAGGAACATCGATGAGCACAGCGAAGGCAACGCCGACAACAACAGACAGAGGAACAGGAGATTGGAATCAAAGGAATTATGATCGTTTTACACTGTCGAAAACCCAGATTTCTTAGTTTGCCGGTTTCCCCGCAGATATATAGATCAAAGTCTGCAAAGTTTCAGTCCGTATTACGGCCCCAATAATAATAATTTTCAGGCGAACTGCACCGGGCCATATTTGTTCTTTGATTTTTTTTCATTTTCTAAATGCGGGCGGCGAAATAATGCTAAATCTGCTTTTCAATACACTGTTAACAATAACACTACATAATACGCAAAAAAGAAGAAGAAGAAAAGAAAGAACAGCGTATGGACCTTTAACACGATATTCGCGGTTGGTCACCCGTCCAGTTCGTAACCCCAACCGAGTTTCGCGTTATTGCGAGATACATATTTCTATAGAGTTAAAAAGTTATTCAGCAGTACTGCAATTGTTTGGTATTGCCTAATTTCATACCGCGCGGGAGCCTGGCACTACCGGATTTTCCCGGACTTTTTAAATTCCGGAATCAAAATGGCTTCCAAAACAGAGGGTAAAGCAAACGTCATTGCGTGCAGTTGAAACGATATTAACGGCCAGATTACTCAGGAAAGTTAATATTCTACAGCAAAGAGCAGTTGTTTTACTGCTACGAAGGACTTCGATTAAAAACCTTGAGAAAAGAAATATCAAATCGGAGACTTTCGCTACTTGGAAGTATTAGAAGTATTCCCGGATTGTTCGACAAAAAAATTTGAAGAAAGAACAGTCGCGTTTAGCGTTTTTTACGGCGCTAGATCCGACCGAATCTTGGGGAATGATAAGGGAGTGGGTGTATCTGTTTTTACAAACCGTAAAATAAAGACTACCAAAAAGCGAAACACGCCAGAGTGGCCCTGAGTGAAAGAGCAACATCGTATTAGATCGGCAAGGCTTACATTAGGTTTTTTCTCCGCAGCTGCGTACGGTCTCAGTAAAAAATCCTAAAGATCGGACCAGAGACAATTCTCACTAACAATAGATAAAAGCAAGTATAGTTCAGTGTTAAAAGAGAGGCATTTCTCGTCTAGTAGCACTGCAGTTCCTGTGACCAGACCTCATGCATTGAGCAATGGTATCATACACAAGTAATTTTTGTTGGGGGGATAAATTGTATATAGTATATAGTTTCTTTCTGAGGCCCCTGCGTGAACACGCGTTCTATTACATTTGCAGTGTTGGTTGAACTCATTATGAGATGTATAAAAAACAATTGTCCAGCCTAGGCATGTCATGTATGGGGATTTTCATTAACGCAGGAAACAAAGTGTAATAATTGAGAAAACACAAAAGAGAACAAAAGAATTACACTCAGAAACTCTAATACGAAAACTGCATTTCAAAGGTTCATGGAAAATACATGGACAACCACAAGGAGTCTTCATTCGGGTTTTAAAAGGTCGGGGGCAGATTTAGTGACAACTATAACTAGTTTAAAGTTTGTTTTCGTTGGGCTCCGGTCGTCGACGTCTTGCCGACGTCGCTCAAAAAAGCCGACTTTTGGGTAGTTCTACACTATGTATTGTATCCAAACAAAATGACTCTTCTAAATAAGATAAGCGTATTAAAAGATGTAATATAGATTGTACGCTGGAATTTGGCATGTGATTAGCGTTGAATAGAATGTTGAAAGTGAATCTGTCGTTAACAACGCTGGCGTGACGGGCCGTGTCACGCTATTTTTAACCACTGGAATGTCGCGATTTTTCGCAAAATTAGGGTTGAACTCAGCGTCTTGCGGGCTACTTAAAATTCTTTGCCTAGAGATTTGTTTCGATTTTCTGATAGACTGGGGCCTAGTTAACCCGTAGAAAGTCAATTTGCGAAATTCTAAGTTATAGCGCATTGTAAAAATTTACATTATTTTAACCCTATAATTTTGAACCGGTGAAATTGTCAATAGGGCCTATTTTTAACAATACCTTTTTGGCCACAAACTTTTTACAGCTTTCACAAATTTATCGTCTTATAGGAAAGAAAGGGTCATAAAAACTATTCGTGTTCTTCAAAGGCTGACAAATCGCTGTAGTTTGACGTACGAGTCAATGAAATTTGTGTAAAATTTCGTTTTACCTGCAGTGGATTTTGAGCTCTGAACGGGCAAAATGAGTTTTCCCGAATTTTAACAAAAGAACACTTTATTTGGGAAAACAAACTACAGCATGTTTCATTACTCATTAAGGGTTATCGATGAGCCAAAAATGAGCGAAATTCGAATTTTGAACTTGTGCCACAAAACTCGATTTTGGTCGATATTTACAGACAGTCGCTCTTAAACAGCGCAAATGGCACGCCTTTTTGGGAACTTAGAGTTGGTGTCTGTTGAACTGTTTAAGGTCAAAAATACCTTAAAACAGGGAAGGTTTTGAAAATTTTTGAAATTGTAGTTGTAGTGTGTGGATCATAAAACTGTTGTCTCACTCTTGATTAACTAGTAAAATCTCTAAATTGATCGGCATTATTCAATTTGTATCTTCACGCAAAATCCAAACAAGCGACACTAACATGACTTAAAAAAGGGTTCGTCTTGAAAATTAACTACACTTTGCGAATCGCTAGGAAACAAGATGCACATCAAACAACGGGAGAAGGTTGGTTAATATGTGAAGCAAACTTTAGTAAAGGGCTAGCACTCTAAAATTCAGCTATTCTAGTATTTACGATGATAAATGTGACTCTTGTAGGACGTTGCACAAGGGACGTTACAATCTGTGGCAGTAGCCACCCCCCGTCACTGTGGTTTTAGTAGGGACCTTACGAAACTAGGATGGCGACGGCAAGGAGAACGTCATAAAAGCAATAGGTTTAATGAGCAAAACAACAACTCTGCACGTGCAACACGTTTCTGTACATTACTTTACTGTCCCTGCACAATTATTACGTGAAATGACTAAATTTTAAGTTTACTTGAGAACAAGAACGGCAAGGCGATAAATTGTAGGATCTCTGTCTGAATTCGGGCGCGGCCCCCTCTCTTCAGCTCCAGCCAAAATTCCCTTCTCTTAAGTAACAGGGCGAATTGGGATAATCGCGAAAAAGTCTAAAAGGATGCCAAGTCTATTTTTCTAAGACGTTTCCATGTACGTCACCGTTATTGGATCGTAAGGTCCCTAGTGTTTTAAACCAAAAACCTTATAAATGTACCCTTTAGTTATCGCTAGTTTGAACTTCCGATGTGACAAAACAATGGTGTTAATTAAGTAAATTTCGAGAATGAACCAAGAGCTCTCTCTCAGAATTAGGGCTACAGCGTTTCATTTGGTTAGCATAGCCAGATTTTTACAGATCTAGATATGTGCTGCAAAATCTTCCGCCATGAAGGCTGGCAGAATAAAGTGTCATTCGTCTGTCTCGGAGTACCTTATTTTCTCGAATAAGCACCCACCTCCGAGGCCATAACATCAAATAAGCGCCCCCGTCCTCTCCCCTCACTTTCACGAATATATTAGAGATACAAGAGGAATGCATATAATTGACGAGGGTGATGAGATAATCGACATTTTATAAACGCACGAAAGACCATTGATATTAACTTTACGTTTCTAAAAAGGAATTAGCCGATTCAAACCCACACTTCTTTGAAAGGAAAACTTGATAAGTGCCCCCCTTGATTAAGCGCCTTCCTTCCGATAAGTGCACCCCCCTCCTTTTAGCCGTAATCTTAAATAAGCGAGAGCCCGGGCACTTATTCAACGAAATAGCCGGTACACCACCATTACACTTTCAACAAGATCAGTTTCTCCAATTGGACCTTTCGAAAGGCCCTTGTTATTTTAAGGAGAACATTTCGTGGGTCTTAAAATCGTGGTCTGTGCCATGTTCCGCTGCACTGAAGACTTTGAAATCGCGAATTTCGCTACAAGTACTGAACCCCGTGTCCCGTGAAGTACAGTAAAAGTAAGGAAGATCAAGGTACATGAAAACCTTTCTTTTTTTACTTTCACGAATGCAGGCTCTGGCAACCAGACTGGACAGCCCCAGAGTGGTCTGTGATGAGAAGGCCACAGATGGGGACGAACGCACCGATTGGTCGTCCATCATGTATTTAAACCAACAAAACGTCGAGTGCCCGCAGGGTTTGTTCTTGGCCAGTTTCCAACTCAAGACGAAGGCCTACGGAATCTTGGTTAAACAAAGACACAGAGTTAGCTACCATTACCACTGCTGCAAGTTCATTCTGTAAGTCCCTGCAAGGGCGCGGCTCAAGTTTGTTCAGTCAACATTTGTTATCAAACAAAGTAATAGTATGTGAAATAATCTTAAACACGATTTTACCCGATAGCCCGTTCATCCACGTGGCCCGGTGATATTTTTTTTAAAAATACGTTCCAAACCCGTAGCCCATGTGCAGATGTCAGGTAGTGCATGGTAAAAGGTACTCATACATTTTACCAGTTAGAGCCCAATAGAAGAGGGCAACATGCTTCCAAACGCTTTCCCTAATCAGGCGTCCAGTTGTTTTTTAACACCAGAGTAAATGTTTCGCGTAAAACACAAAGAAAATAAATTTCAGTGAAAAAATTATAAAAAGTGCCCTCCCCAGCATTACAGAAAACAAAACAGATACAGTCAAACTCCAGTAAGAGACCACCCCGAAAGCGAAGGTTTAGTGCATGGTTGCTTAAAGGAATCGGTATGGGATCTCATCCAAGAGGAGGTCTGGGCATATGTTTCTTTGGAAAGAAAACTTATCGCAAGCTCTATGTGCATCTACTATACGTGTTTTCACAAAGATTTCTTCATACACCCCGAGTAACGTTTTACATACAGCGAACATCAGACCATGTGTTGAGTGGTCGCTTGCAAACGCTTAAATTGATGGAAAATTATGAAACCGTCACCCCAGAAAATGATTAAGCTTTGGCGCTTTAACTGTGAAAACTTTGATGTGTAGGATGGGTAGTCTCTTTTGGGAGGTGGTCGCTTATAAAAGGCGGTCGCACAAGGAGGTTTGACTATATCTGAGGTTGCTGTATTACACTAGACAAGTTCGGTTAGTTAATTAATCTTCTCTTAGTCCTCGTCAGCTTTGTTGGAAATGGATGATAGGGCCCTAATCGCTGGCTGAGAATTTCTTGAAGAGTGGTTCTGATAACTTTTCAAACAAAAAAAAAAACAAAAAAAAACAAGCTACTCCGCATAAGAATTCTGCTCTTTCCGCCTGATGACAAATATGTTAAGGCGAAAAACACTGAAAACAGTATTTTCCCAACATTTCTCTGGCATAACCAACAACGATATAGGTCCTTAAGATCTGACAACGGCGACGCCAATGAAATCGTCGCTGAAAAACAAACTTCGCGCCCTTTTAATCTTTTACTTCCTTCTACCAAGTCACTCAGTAACTTGAAAGTAGGAAAGTTAGGTTGGAACTAAAGAGAGGAGATCGTGTCCGAGTTCAGAGAGAGAGAGAGAGAGTAAAATCTATCGCCATTGCCGTTTCCGTCCGTTATCAAATCAGCTCGGAGTTTCGTAGTTTTGCAGGGACGGCAACAAAATGTACAAACAATAAACAGGACGCACTTGCAGAATTGTTGTATTGCTCATAATACCTATTGCGTTGTAGACGTTCCCGTTGTCGTCGCTGTCGTAGATTCATAAGCAACGACGACAGCAACGGCAACGGCAGCAAAAACGTCACACGAAAAGAGAATTTGCGCTGCTTCAAATTAAACTGCATCGCTCTAATTGCAGCTTTTTCAATTTGTCAAATGTCGGCGATTTTTTCAGGAGTTAAATTCTAAAGGACTGTATCTAAGTTCACTAGCAGAAAAAGAGAATCGTTGTCTTGTGTTCCCGTCCTCCATAAAACGTGAAATTAGGCAGTTTCACGTCGTAGTCGTGCAGTGGCAGCAAAGAAATGTACACAAAAGCGTGATGCACGTGCAAAGTTGTTGTTTTGCCAATTCAAACCTATTGCTTTTTTGTTGTTCTCGGTACCGTCGCCGGGATGATTTGCAACGACGAGGTTTAGCGCAACACAGCGTTGCAATGTTGGAATAATGTTGTAACCATTCGAAACATTGTTGCAACCCTGTGTTGGGCTAAAAATCGTCGTTGTGAATCGTCTCGTGTAACATCACCTTCAGCTCCCTAAGGTCCTAACGACGACGACGAAGGCAGTGAAAACGTCGCAAAAAAATATTTAATTCAGTCCTTTAAACTTTATCGCGTCTATTTGGACCCACTCAATTTGTCAAATGTAGGCGATTTCTCCTGGAGTTGAATTCTTAAGGACTTTATCCAGGTTCAAAAAGAGAAAGAAAAATCCGTCTTCGTATGTTCACGTTTCCCTAAATACGTCGCATTAAGAGGTTTCACGTCCTAGTCGTACAGTGGACGTGAAAAAATGTACTAAAAAGCGTAATGCATGTGCAGAGTATTTGTTTGCTCATAAAACCAATTGTTTTTTTGGACGTTGTTGTCGTCCTCGACGTGGCTGTTAAAGCTCCTCAATAATCATGACTTAACGCCTACTCTTTACCGGTCAGGCGAAATATTTTGTGCTATGGCCATTTAATAACAATGACTTGACATTGCTGTTATATAGGCAAAAGATACATTCCAACTCCTAGCAAGAAAGGTACTAACGAATTTACAATAAGGGACTGATAAAAAGGTAGAGCGGGTTGGGTCGGTGCATTTGGAAATGTGAGGGCTGAAAATCATATAACACTCACCCTAGTGAACATGAATTTGGTTTACTTCTCTTGGTTTACTTTTCATTCCACGACTCCACATTTGACAGCATCATAAAAGACACCATTGTGACGAAATCATAATGGGATTTTATGGCAAGACATTTGATAATGGTAGATAGATAGATAGATAGATAATCTTTATTTATCCACGGTACAAAATTCGTCAGCTTTAAAAATGCCTAATACTAATATAATAAAAATATTTAAATAAAAAAGCTGCTTTCCACGAATGCCGTGCCTTACAGTTCTTTGAGTAATCGTTTAAATTGCCCAAGGGGCTCTGCTTCCCTAAAGTTACAAGGAAGACTGTTCCAGAGAATGGCGCCACTATAGCTGAAGCTGTTTTTGTAATAGTTTGTGCGCGGTAATGGAACATGGAGTTTATTTTCAGAGTCCCTTAGGTTATATGCGACTTCTCGCCTTTCAAATTTAGAACTAAGATAGTTTGGAGCCAACCCGTGCAGAGACCTGTAAACCATCGTAGCTCTTTGAAATTGTTGCTGGCAAGCTAGGTTTTTCCACCCTAGAAGTTTGAAAAGGTGACCAGCATCTACGTCATAGCTTGAGTAGGTCAAAACACGGGCTGCTCTGTTTTGTAGCTTTTGAACCTTATTCCGTAAGGTTATCCCACAGTTTCCCCAAACAATGTTGCAATAATCAAAGTGTGGCTGTATTAAAGCTTGATATATTAGTTGTAAGGTCGCCTGAGGGACAAGGTGCCTTATTCGTTTTATGGCCCCAATACCAGAAGCGACTTTCTTCGTTACTTTCTCGATGTGGCCACTCCAATCAAGTCTGTCATCGATGGTCACTCCAAGTGATTTTGCAGTAGTGACCTGGCTAACTTCAAAATCATTAATTGCAAATGTCGGGGACTCTGTGAGAGTACTTAGCCTCTGCCTAGATCCGATAAGCATAAATTCGGTTTTAGTCATATTTAGAGTAAGTTTGTTTGCTCTCAGCCAATTGTGAACATTTTCTAAATCTTGATTTAGATGCAACTGAATATTGTCTGCATTATCACCTGCGTACGTAAGGTGGGTGTCATCAGCGTACATCCTCGGCTCGCAATTTGAAAGACAGTTTGGAAGATAGTTGATGTATAACAGAAATAATAATGGACCTAAAATCGTCCCCTGGGGAACACCACAACTTAATAAACAGCTTTGAGAGAGCGATCCGTTGATGGAGCACATTTGAGTACGATTCTCTAAATACGACTTAAACCATTGGTGCGCGTTACCATATTTGCCGTAATTGCTTAATTTTGATAAAAGGATCTAATGGTCAACTGTGTCGAAGGCCTTTTTGAGATCTAAGAAAAAAACAGCGTTGATTTTACCGCGGTCAATATTGTACGCCCAAGTGTCCGTGGCCTCAAGGAGAGCCGTGACAGTTGAGTGAATAGCGCGAAAGCCTGATTGATATTTACAGATTATATTGTGCTCTTCTAGGTAGGCATATAATTGATCATAGACGATTCTTTCAAAGACCTTGGCCATAACTGAGATCACCGAAATTGGACGATAATTGTTTAAGTCGTCCCGATCGCCTTGTTTAAAAAGTGGGGTGACCTTTGCGCATTTCTAGTCATCCGGAAATATGCCTTGACTTATTGACTGGTTAAAAATATCACGGACAGGAATGCAAATGAGATCTGCACATTCCCGAATGAGCCTAGCAGATATCTTGTCAAGGCCAGCGGCCTTTGACCTATTTAGACGATTCAAAAGTGAGAGAACTTTATTTGTACTGGTCGGATGGAGCTGAAACCGTTTATCTGTGCCAGTGAGGTACTTTTGATAACCATCACTATTTGAGGAATCAATATTGCTAGCAAGTTCTGGACCGATAGTAGCAAAGTGATTATTAAATTGGTTCGACAGCACAGTTGGATTTGTTATTGATACTCCATTTACTTCAGAGATGTCACCGATTTTTTCCCAGATTTTCGCGAAGTAAGTTCATTGATAGTCTGCCAGGTCTTTTTAGAATCGCCCGTATGCTTGTCTGCAGGCTAAGGCGGCAGGTTCCAAGCCTATGTTATTTCCAGCCAATCAGAATTTAGGGCGTTCCGGACGATATCGTTCTTAAGCGTGCTTTTCCATACGCTCGCCCCTTTCGATCGCTCACCATCACGTTGTTCTCATCGCTTGTCTGAACCAATTTTCAGCATTTTCCACCACCTTTCCTTCAGCCTGCCTGCGAATTAATTCCTAGTTTGTTTCTCTTTCTTGTCTTAGTGGGTGGCGGTTTTTTCCCCCCACCTTTGCTGAAGATATTTTAGTTTATTATATATTGGCAGATCTTGAAAATAAAGTTCGTCACCTTTGGTGGCCAAATTTTCTCCAACCAAATCCGACTCTGTGTTTACCTCCTCAGCAAACAAGTGCGCCGCCACGCAGAGCTCTTGGTCACGCAAAGTTTTCAGCGTCCTTCTCATCGTAAAAATGCCTTGATGTAAAAGTTCTTGTCTCCAGCCTGGCTTCGTTAGTGTTTCGCGTTATTTGGCTTACCTGGTCAAAGCTTAGCGGACAGACGGGTTGTACCGCTTTCACCACAAACACTAAACAACTTAAAAGAAGCTTATTTAGTCACTATTTAGTAGTAACTAAACAAAACCAAACTGGCATTCCAACTGATGAAACCGTGGTTTTGCCTGCCCAAAAAGTGGCAGACTGTTAAGCTAATTAGTGTAGGCAATTATGAGTTTAACTAATTGCAGTTTATATTGCTGTACACTCTTTTTTGTAAGAATGTTGTTTTTCCGTCCCAGGCTGAATATTCTTATTTTTCTGTCGATTTAAGGCTGAAACTGATTCTTGTTATTATTCTTAAATTTTAGCTCATGACTTTTTCTTTCCAGAATATATTGGGGTATCAATTATAGTTAGTGCAGGTTTTTTTCGTTTTATTGGCTAGTTTTGCTGTTTAGATAAAGGAATCAGTTAAAAATATATAACTATGTTGTACTTACAGATTTTCAACGCACAAAACAATATCATTTTCAAAATCTCAGCCCCGGGTTTATTCTTGAAATATTCTTAAATTTTCGCAAATTTCAGCCTCGATAATCTTATGAAAAAAATTCTGACCAAAAAAAGGATTGTATCAAAACAATCTTGACTGCCTGTAATTGGTGCAGCTTAGGTTCAAGCAAAGTGACAACTCTTTCTGTTAAACATGGATCTGTAGCTGGTTACAATTAACACTAAATAGCTGAAGATTGCATAGCATAACATAACAAAACATAGCATCACAATCACGGGAAAAAAACACACCCAGTAATTCTGATACCGATCCAGCCTGAGGCCCGTTTCTCGAAAGTCCCGGTAACTTTTCGGGCCCGGAAAGCTGGTTTTATGTTTACCATGTTTGCATTAAAGATCAAAGTTTCCATGATTTTGAGCATGATAAAATAAAACTATCAATTAAAGAAGCAAAATCGACTGGTTTGTTAGCAAGGAACTCTGCTTCTATCCAAGAGGATTTGATTTTAAAATTTACCTTCGGCCCCAAAAAGTTACCGGGCCTATCGAGGAAAGTCCCCAGGCCTGACTTCAAAGAAAACTGGAGAGATACAAAAACCTATTTTTAAAGGATATTCATCCATCAGAACCAAAAACAAAAAGGAAATTAATGTACAGAAAACAGACCGGTTACATGAACTCGACCAGGCAATGTAAGACAACGGAGCAGCAAAAAAAACATGTTCAGTCAGCACTAGAATCTTTCAAGACCTCCAAAGCCTAAACTATCCACTAGAAAGAGAAGAAACACAAAAAAAGCACAAGCAAATCACAGTCAAGCCAGGTGAAGTGTACCACCCAAGATTCCATAAATGAATTCATTATCCGACAGTTCGACAGTTGAATACGTTGGTGGTTATTTTCTACATTTTTTTTTATTCAAATGAGCGGGTCCCGAACAGCCCGGAACGGGGGATGGGACAGTGTAATTTCCTTTCACCCGTACCCTTTTTCCCGTTTCCCGCCCTTTGTTGTTAACTTTGCCTCGTTGCGTTTTTGTCAAAATATTAGGTAATTTTTTCTAATTTTTAATGCTTGTCCACCATTGAGAATCATGCACAATTCCCTCTTCCTGTATTTTTTTACCTCCCGGCCTTCTTCCTTTCTTTCCGG